GAAGTAATGTAAATAAAAAATCATATATCTGCCTAAATATTTTTATTTTAACTGCAGCTTGCTTTTATATTTATAATATTACTAATTTTATAATTTTTCTGGAAATAATAATCACTAGAATCTTAAAATGTTCAAACCATTACAAACATTACACTATTAAACCAATTCGTTTTCATTTAATTGGTTAAAATGTTTTGTAAGGGAAAATCATGTGTGAGTTTATTTCAAGGACGCACAAACGAGAGGTGTACACCCTTTAGAGTTCAATAGACATCCTGAGGAGGATTATCCATTGCCATTGTCCCATTTAGAGAAAATTAAAGTTAAAACCATGAGTTCGACCACATAACACGATTACTTTTATTCAAATAATAGATAATCAAAACAGCAAAATAAAAATTTAGTCAAACTTTCGAAAAAAGAATTTAGTACTTTGTTGTGTTCATTCTGTTTCTAAGGTTTTCTATATTTTCTTTTAAAATTTATTACAATCTTTAAATGATTTGAAAGGAAAGAAGACAAAATTTATTTTAATGAAGCGGTTATAGCTCATTTTTAGCTAATTTTAAATATAATTAAGCTTTTTTGCTGTTATGAATAATTTAGCTTTCATTAAAAGTTCAAGCGTAATTGCTGTCTTTATTATCCGAATACTTGCTCTGTTTAACAGTCGTATACTTGAACGGTCGACCAACGGAACAGGGCATTTTACTCGTTTTAATATAAATAACGATTAAACATTTATTTTGAAAAGAAATGAGCTTTTTTTGTATGAATAGAAATGTTTTATAGTTTGTATTCCAAAGAGAATGAATTGGTTTGTCCAGTTTGTTATACTTGGGGGTTTTTTTCGGAAATTCAAGGACCAAATTTAAAAGCTTCTTTATTGTTTGAAGCTTATACAATTAACGAAGCGACTGTAGCTTTTTTTAACAAATGGTAAATATAATAAAGCTCTTTTTGCTATTAAGAATAATTTACCTTTCATTCACAGTTCAAGCGTAATTGCTGTCTTTATTATCCGAATACTTGCTCTGTTTAACAGTCGTATACTTGAACGGTCGACCAACGGAACAGGGCATTTTACTCGTTTTAATATAAATAACGATTAAACATTTATTTTGAAAAGAAATGAGCTTTTTTTGTATGAATAGAAATGTTTTATAGTTTGTATTCCAAAGAGAATGAATTGGTTTGTCCAGTTTGTTATACTTGGGGGTTTTTTTCGGAAATTCAAGGACCAAATTTAAAAGCTTCTTTATTGTTTGAAGCTTATACAATTAACGAAGCGACTGTAGCTTTTTTTAACAAATGGTAAATATAATAAAGCTCTTTTTGCTATTAAGAATAATTTACCTTTCATTCACAGTTCAAGCGTAATTGCTGTCTTTATTATCCGAATACTTGCTCTGTTTAACAGTCGTATACTTGAACGGTCGACCAACGGAACAGGGCATTTTACTCGTTTTAATATAAATAACGATTAAACATTTATTTTGAAAAGAAATGAGCTTTTTTTGTATGAATAGAAATGTTTTATAGTTTGTATTCCAAAGAGAATGAATTGGTTTGTCCAGTTTGTTATACTTGGGGGTTTTTTTCGGAAATTCAAGGACCAAATTTAAAAGCTTCTTTATTGTTTGAAGCTTATACAATTAACGAAGCGACTGTAGCTTTTTTTAACAAATGGTAAATATAATAAAGCTCTTTTTGCTATTAAGAATAATTTACCTTTCATTCACAGTTCAAGCGTAATTGCTGTCTTTATTATCCGAATACTTGCTCTGTTTAACAGTCGTATACTTGAACGGTCGACCAACGGAACAGGGCATTTTACTCGTTTTAATATAAATAACGATTAAACATTTATTTTGAAAAGAAATGAGCTTTTTTTGTATGAATAGAAATGTTTTATAGTTTGTATTCCAAAGAGAATGAATTGGTTTGTCCAGTTTGTTATACTTGGGGGTTTTTTTCGGAAATTCAAGGACCAAATTTAAAAGCTTCTTTATTGTTTGAAGCTTATACAATTAACGAAGCGACTGTAGCTTTTTTTAACAAATGGTAAATATAATAAAGCTCTTTTTGCTATTAAGAATAATTTACCTTTCATTCACAGTTCAAGCGTAATTGCTGTCTTTATTATCCGAATACTTGCTCTGTTTAACAGTCGTATACTTGAACGGTGGACCAAGGGAACAAGGCATTTTACTTGTTTTAATATAAATAACGATTAAACATTTGTTTTGAAAAGAAATGAGCTTTTTTTGTATGAGTTAAAATGTTTTATAGTTTGTATTCCAAAGAGAATGAATTGGTTTGTCCAGTTTGTTATACTTGGGGGTTTTTTTCGGAAATTCAAAGACCAAATTTGAAGGTTCTTTTATTGATTGAGACCATTACTTTTAATGAAGCGATTATAGCTTATTGTTAACAAATTCTGTAAAGAGAAATAAATTTTTCAGCATTTATAGTACGATTAAATTGTTGTCCGGGATTTTGACAAAAATTGTATATTGCATAATATAGTCGTACCTTCAGATAAAAATAAACTTTATATTCGTGTTCAGCGTTCAATTATACATTGAAAATAATTAAAATTACCCACTAGATGGTCAATTAACCCCATTTTTTGATAAACCTCTCTCTATCGTTAGCCTAAATTAATAAGAAAAGTAAGACTACAATAACACAACTAATATCCAAAACCCGTAACGTTTGCTTAGAAAATGCTTTAATATGATACTCAATATATCATTCTCAATTAAAGGCTGTGAACGAGACTGAGGATGATACTTTGAGTATCGAAGCGTGTTTTAAGTTTTAAAACGTATTTGTGTAGTTTTATGTCTATTTATGTACGAGAATTTAATTAGTTGATATTTCATGAATATTTGCACTAGATATACACCATTATGTCGGGTACAGGGTAATTGGGTACTCAACATTAGAGTCTTCCCGACATCAACGTAAAAGTTACTCGATAGTCGATCGAATCCTAAAGGGTTGGCTGCCGGATCCAAACCGAGTAACCATTCAATATCTTCCTTTATCATTATGTAACAACTAATTACTTATGACATTTTTTATTTTGGAAAATGTGCACATTTACTGCACAGTCTGTTGTTTATTAATAAAGGCTAAAATTAGCAAAAAGGTCCACATATCTAATCTTAATTTTATTTGCATTTATAAACATGTTGTACAGTTTACATACCCTATACCACTAGGTCTTAACCTGACTCTCATTAACAGATATGCAAGTGAATAATTCAAGGTCTGACAAAACCAAGATCATTTTACATCGCGACCCTCATTGCGCCAACTATGATTATATATGCATATGACATTTTTTTTGTGAGTGCTTATTACAACATATGGTACCATTGCGTGGGAATTGGCGAAAGAAATTTGATGAGTATATTTAGTGGGCGGAATGAGAACTCAATTTACGTTACATCGCAAAAGTGTAATCTGATAAGGCAAGTAAAAAAAATAGATTCTATTTTATTTTTACGTTACGATAGATACAGTTATGCGAAGTGGCGTATTTTTTATTGGAAAATCATCAGCTTTTTCAATTTCTCTCCCGGCAATTCTATCATTTGCACGAATGTAGTTTATGGGT